CTGGAGATTATTTTTGGCTGGAAGTGTTGAGGTTTTGGGATCCCGACAAACAAGAAAGCGTTGTATGAAGCCTGAGGTTCGCCAGACGCTGGTGCGGCAACTGTAACTGTTGGTGATGATCACTGGAATTCACCACTGAGCTTTAAAATTGAGCCCCTCACTTGCCTCTGGTGTTTCTAACTACTAGCTCCAAGAACAGCTGCTAAGACCTTCATCACTACTCATCACAGCTGTTTTCTTACAAAGGACATGTGAGGAGAGCAACCTTTCTCAGGGCTATCTGACATCTAAACCTCTCTGCACTGATTCCAGTGAGACCCTTTAAAAGTTACTTTAGCACCACAGTACAGCTCCCATCATTTGGCTTAGATTGGCTTTATTGTTGACCTCAGGGAAATTACATTTAGACGTTTAATTTTTCTCATCAGTGGATTGTAACTTTGCATCCAAATGGTTATAGCTGTTTTAATTCGGGAAAAGGACCTGTGTCCTCCTGCCAGTAAAATTAGAGAGAACAATAAACTACTCTTACATGTGCTTACTTTGGAATAACCAGATCTGATTAGTTTAAACAACAGCTATATGCTTGAGCTAATAGCTTCATCTGCCAGTCTTATGGAGCTTATTTGGATTTGACAGACTCCCCTGACATGCTTAATCATGGAACAGTTTTACCCCCACCTGCACCCCTGTCGCCCTCTACAACCTCCTCTCTGTCCACTGCACCCTCCTCTCTTCTTCATTAATACCATATTAATCATTTGCTTATGTTTTTCTGAATAAATAAAATTCCCCCACCCACTTTCCCTCCATTCCTTTGAAATGAGAAGCACAGTTGGGTCGCTTTCCAGGGGTGACAGGCGGTTCTGTTTAGGTGCTCTTTAATTCCACTGCTGTCTGCGCATGCACGCACACACACACACACACACATGCTCAACTCCTCCCCCGCTACCCCCCCCTCAGTACCTCTCGTCAGTACATTTCCAAAGACGGATAAGTTTTTCAGTGCATGTGGCCATGCTTGGACTCAGTAACAGCAGCCCTCCACCTCCTTCCCCCCTCACATGTCATCATCGCTCCACCTCTTTAATTTCATCTAATTCTTTCCATCCTTTCTTTCTTATCTTACAGCATCAGTTAGATACTCACTCTCCATTTCTGGTTTCCTCATTTATGTTTCTGTTCTGCCTTGAGTTTTTCAACACCTTGTGCTTGCGGAGAAGCTCAGATTTCTTTTTCCTGCTTTGGGCCTTTTTGAAGCACTAAGTCAGATTTTTACATTGGGGTCCCCGCTCTGCAAGTGTGACCCAAATTACTTGTCTCCCAAAGACTTGGAACTGCATTGAGCTCTACAGTAAACTGGCCCAAAAAAGGCCCAACATGTGTTTTTGTCTAACAACAAAGTTAATGTTCCATATACTATACTACTATGAGCTTATCTACTTTTTAGAAAACTGGCATCAAGGAAAAATGTGTCAAAGAAATTTTTGCATTATTTTTAAATGAACACTTCCCCCTCCACTCAAGAATGGGAGTTATAAGTGCAGAAAGGATTAGTTAATTAAGCAATTAGTTCATTTATAAAGTAATATACATCTATTTTGATAATAATAATGATAATTAATTGTTAATAATTTTTAAAAAAATGACAAAAAAAATAGTGCCAAACATTCTCTTATCCTCATTGGCAAAAATATTTTCAGGTTTATAATAGTATACTATAATAGGTTTATATAGTTACAGGGATAATTTAAATTTTTATAGCCATAGATAAACTGCTAAAATGAAACAGCATAGCCTATTGGATTAGGTGTTCAGACTTCTGTGCATGCACATGGAGCTGGACAGCGTCTCAACATTAAACTGATTTCTGTACCAGCCCTCGGTCACATCCGTAAAAAACACAACCAAAAGCACTTATAGGGCACTTAAGAAATGGACATGGCCCCAGGCAGTTTCCTGTTTTGCTTGGGCCTTAGACTCATGTTCATACAAATTCATAACTCTGATTAACTCCTATTATACTTTACTTAACCTGCAAGTTTGAGTTGTCCATTTCCACTGTAATATGTATGGAGGGTCAGTCTGTGCTGTGCTGAGAGGAGAGACAATGACTGAAAATGACACAAATGACAATCCGAGAATGGAACTGAATACCTGCATCGGGGAAATAATGCCACCATTTGTTTTTATATATAATAATCTACCGAGCAGTACGTGAAATGAACTGCATGTGTGCCCAATAATGTATGATGCCAAGAACTAACCAAAGTCAACTTCTTCCTTGTGCTTTCTTTTCCTGTTTTTCATTCTCTCTCACCTCTCATCTTTCCCCTCACTGCTTTTTGTCGGAGCAGCTTCTGGGCCATATGCAGGCACAGACTGGCAGCTGTATGGCATGAGAGGAATCGGTGGCACACCACCCTTCATCTGTTATTAGTAGTTCAGAAAGATTTAGAGCGGGGGAGGGTGGGATGTGGGGCAGGAGAGTTGGGGCGAGCACTGTAGGAAAACAAGCAGAGGGCCAAAAACTGGAGCCAAAAAACCAGGTTCCAAAAATCAAAGTGGTGGTGTGTTTTCTCTACTCAGCTCTTCTTCTTTTCCTCTGCTCTTTTACTCTCTGTTGATTCAGTTTTTTTTTAATCCTATGCACTTGTTGATTAGCATGTAGCAACCACCACAGAAAGAAAATGCAGCTCAAGAATAATTACATTATTGTTTATCATGGGATACATTTTAAAACTGAGGCAAAGCTGTAAGTCAACCAACTTCTTAATTCCTGAAAAAGGCCTGTTGTCTGTGAAATCTACATGATTATTCAGTTTTTGGTGACCTAGACATTTTTTTTTTACCTTGGGAAGTTTACTGCTTACATTTATACCATTTAAGGTTATTTACTGGGCTTGAAAGACTTACATTTCTATAAAATCTGGACAGGAGTGTTTATCATAGAGGATGTCACTCAGTAATTTGAATGCCATCTTTTTTGTAGTTTATGATGAGTTGAATGCGTCATCTTATGATTTTTCGTGGAGCTAATTTCATGCTCTCAACTGCTGACTGTAAATACTCTTGGCTGAGGTTGGAGAGATGGTTTGAGGTTACTGGGAGGTCAGCTGTGCTGTGTGGGCAGCAGGGCTATTTGGAAGATGGAAAACAGAAAGGGACAAAGAGAGAAAGAGACAGAAAAAAGTGATTTGAGTAAAACATTGAGAGGTGCAGAGGAAACACATAAGCTGCTTGCTGCCACATGACCCTGTGCTTCAACACATTGTCCTTGGCTGCCTTCTCACAGCCCTGAATGTGGAAACAAATTAGAAACAAAAAATAGAGAGTGACGGAGAAACAGAAACAAGGAGAGAGGAAAGGGAGTTAAAAAAAATATTTACTCAGAAGTAAATAGCAGTCATAATCCATGTGGAATTTTTTTTTTTTGGTTGACAATTGTGAAAAAGTCCTTTGAAACAACAATAGGGGCCATTGAGAAGTGCAGGCTGAGGGTGAGCGTCAAAGTTGGCTCCAATCCAGGGACCAGGTTTCTCTTAAAGCCAGGGGAAGAAAAGAGTGACTGTTTTATGGAGGGAAAGGAGAGACACACACACACACACACACACACCACACACACACACACACACACACACACACACACACACACACACACACACACACACACACACACACACACACACACACACCCACCACCCAAAACGTTCTCATCTGTTCTCCCTGTCCTTTTCTTATTCATGTACATGAACACTTGCAGATGCCTGGCAAGAGAGGATAGAAACATGCTTGCATTCTTTCATTCATAGTCATTATTCTTATCTCCTATCTGTATATCTTCTATCTTTCCTTTTATCTGGAGCCGACAATTAAGCCCCATCCACTGTCCTTCCTTCTTACATTTTTCTTTATTTGGCATAATGGCATAATGGTATTGAAAAATTAGGGACACATAAAGATTTAAAACAGTGGAGGAAGGAGAAAGAAGTTAAAGCCTCTTGACCTCTAGGGGGTGCATTGTTTCTCCTATTATTTCACTAGGATGTTTGCTGTCTCTGAGCAAATTGATATAATAGGGCCTGCATGACAGGAGTGGTGCTGTTTTATGTGTTTGTGTTGTTAGCATGGAACCTTGCACAACAGCTCCCAGCTATGGGCCAGGATATGTGTGTGTGTGTGTGTTTGTGTGTGTGTGTGTGTGTGTGTGTGTGTGTGTGTGTGTGTGTGTGTGTGTGTGTGTGTGTGTGTGTGTGTGTGTGCGTGTGTGCGTGTGTGCGTGCGTGCATGCTGCATCAATTCCCGACCAGCATCCCACCTATAAAACGCATGGGTGGTCAGCCTGTTTATTGTGTGGGTTTGCAAGCAATGCTCAACCATTAGGCTTAGACCAGTGAGTCATTCATAAGTGGTTAAATCCACTTACTACCTTAACTCGACTGTTCTGAATCGTTATCCTTATTTCCATTTTGCTTCCAGCTCACTGCTGGTAAGGAAGAAGTCCAAGACCTCTTGTCTACTGAAAGCACACATTAAATGGTCTTCTATTGGTCCAGACTGAAATATCTCAACAACTATTTAACGGATTGCCATGAATCATTAGCATGTTAGCATTGTCACAGTGAGCATGTTAGCATGTGATAGTTAGTATTTAGCTCAAAGCAGAGACTTTCAGTGGGTGTACATTCTTAGCCTTAAGCCTTACCCCACTGTAAAACCCAATAAAGAGGTAGTGACAGTCTGATATACGCTCACATGAATGTCCATGTAGATGCTTGACACTGCACCCATATTGAAAGAAACTTTGCACAAATACTCAAACGCATGTACACACACACACGCACTACTATGTTGGTGATTATAACATAATTATGCAGAACTTATACATTGGCGCCATTTTCCTTTTGTTACATGCAAAGGTGAAAACTACAATTAAAAAAAGACAATATTGACTGATTTATTTTGGATATTCATTTAATGATAATATCACTTTTTCCACTTGTACAAATAAGTTCACAGAATTAAAAAAAACAAGTAATGACAACAAGGAGCTTCCCAAAATAAACAGGGAAAAATTAACAATCACATCGAAAATACTTTTGGTTATCTTCAATGTATTCTACTTTACAGACAAATATTCCAGTTGTGTTGCTTGATTGTTTTTTGTTTGGGTTGTTAGGGCATCTTGTTAGCATGGAACTGTTAATTGTGGGAATGGTGTAGGTAACTTTACAGATATTCACAAATGTGTCTTTGGTGTGTTTGTCCACAGGTAGAGTTGTTTGGGGCGTAATGTACTCCTAGGCATGTGGGCACATAGAGGGGGTGACTGATAGTAACTTGATGTCTGCACGTCCCTGCACAAGCCGGAACACGTACTTGCATTATCACAGAGGTTGACAGATCCACACACACACACACACACACACACACACACACAAAAGTTACTTTGAGTATTCACAGATTTGAATCTCAGCACTATGCCTGCATAATAACCTTCCAGTGAATCTTCCACTTTGCAAGTCACATTGTCCTCTACACAACAATTCATTGTGCGTCTGGCCTGTCCACAGTCTGGTTAGGTGCAAGTGAGCAAAAGTGGGACCCTTCTTGCCAAGGAGAAGTTGTGCACAGCATTATGCCGAGAAGGCTATTTTTACTCAAGAGAAACACAATACACAACCACTATTTGCTTTGCTTGTTGTAGGCCAGGCTAAGTAGTATGTTGTACGTGAATTGTGGTTGAGGGATAAAACAGAGTTTCCCTTGTAGGGAATATAAAGAATAAATAAAGTCTCTTAAGTTCTCGTTTGCTGTGGTGAAGTCACATGAGTGTTTACTGTAACTGAGGCGAACTCTAAACTAAATGAAACCTAGTGCAGCACTGAAACAAAAGGAGTTCAGTCAACTGCTTCTCCCTGTACCTTTTGTAATCCTGCTTACCTTCTCCCTTTGTGATGGTAAAGCAGACTGAGGGCTTCAGAATGGAGAAGGGGGATTTAGTCTTGAGTCTGTCCAGACTAACATCTACTTAGACTGTCTGACATTCTGGGGGCAAAGCCCTTTGATTGACTTTGCTGGTACCAAACGAGTTTTAATCTTCAAAGATTTTAATCTGCTGTTTTGTCTGTTAGTCACAAGAGGTGGTTGGGGGGTATTGAGGGCTGTTAACAGTCACAAAGTTGCACAATAAAAATATCATAAAGACACAAGTATAAAAAAAACATACATACAAAACAAAACAAGCATCACAAAATTTTTTAAAGCCAAATAAAGCAATGCAAGCATCAGCTATTTTCTCTGCACGACTTCATTTGGTATCTTAAAGGTCATTCATTCTCTTTGGGGTAGTACTGAAGAGTTACAACATGCAGCAAAAACAATTGCTCATAGTGTTAAGCTGGGCTGTTGTAACAGGGAAAAGGCAGCACAACCCCATTTCAGTGCACACTCCTTTATGAACAAATAAATGAGGGCATGGGGTCACTATGTCCCTTAACCCAAGGTTTCAGCCAATGACAACGCATCATTTGTCCCAGCGTCATAGCTTGGAAGCTGAGAGGTTACCAGTCCAGCAGTGTGAGTGAAGAAATATTGAAGCAGGATACAGCATGTAAATGGAGTAGAGGCACTTTAAATGCCTTTTGATGTCCAAACAAATGAAATCAATGTGTTTAATGTCTACTTAGACAGGGGACTGAGTTAAATATAAGTCAGTTTCTCCTTTGCTGGTTGGCTTGCTGATACTGTGTCCTCCACTTTCACAACAGCAGTTGCTGCTCTCTATATTTCACCAGTGAGAAAAACAGAGCTGAAGAATGAAAATCCTCCTTTAGGTCTGAGAAGTCAAAGCCATGTGTCAAAAGTAGGAGGGCTTGTGTGAAGACATATTGTTATTTGATGTGCAGTGATCCTGTAGTAGCAACACCTCATACTCCAGATTGCCATTCTGAACAGCAGGTTCAGGGATCATAATTTGAGGCTGTTTTTGAGGCAGTGCCCCATTGTCCAAGCCAGCCTTAACTCCATCCAACTCTAGCTGGGAGGGCTCACAATCTAAGTCCAAGTGGCCCTTGGCCCTCTTCCGGCGAAGATAGCATACCACTCCCACTGCAATTGCTATCAGTACCAGAACTAGCAAGATGGCAACTGCAGGCGCCAGCATAGTGGTCAGCCTTGGGTCGGTAACCCGTGCATCAGGACCACTGATGCTTTCAGGGGCTGTATGGGCCTCAGTGCAGACACTATCTATGTCACTAGGGGCACCTAGTGGACTGACACACACAGTGTAAGTGGAGTTCGGCTTCAGTCCTCTGAGTCTATACTCTGGGAAGGATGCAGGCAGGCTGAGTTGAATTGGCCTGCGGTCTGGCCCAGAGAGATTGCGGTAGGTTAGGCGAATTCCACGGATGTAAGGCCGCATTTCAGTATAACGGTGAAGGTCCACCAAGATTGAGGTTGCCGTTACTTCATGTGAGCTTATGTCAGTTGCATCTGCAGTCACAGTTGCCATGGGGATTGCAGCTTCAGGTGGTGAAGGCGGGTGATGGTTTTGGACTTCACAATACGTGCCAGAAGTGCCATGAGGACAGGTACATTCTACCTGACCATGCTGGTCCAAACGACAAGTACCCCCATTCAGACAGGTGTGAGAGGGACAGAAATGCTGATCCTCTCCTAGGTCAATGCTGCTGCTGCTGCTGGGGGATGCAGGAACAGGGAGCAGGGGAGAGTCATCATCTTTGTCTGTGGGGTTATCACTGGCCCTGGGCGCTGGAATAGCTTCAGTAGTACTTGGCAAGGTAGTGACAGGAACAGGCAGGGTAGTAGTAGTTTTGACAGTACTAGTGGTGATTGTTGTTGTGGTAGGACAGCCAAAATCCCTGTGCTCCAGTCTTTCCAATACCTTTCCAGCATTAATAGGTGGGAAATGGCAGCGTGTCTCCTCTGTTCTCTCCAGGATGATGCTCTGGGCTCTCAGCCATCTTGGGAACCACGCTAAGGTGCAGAGGCAGTTGAAGGGATTCTCTGCTACTGTGAGCTTTCTGAGGTGGGGGAAGAGCTGGGAGAACTCTTCGGGGAGGCCCTGCAGACTAAGGCTGCTAATGTCCAAGTCTTGCAGCTCGCCAAGATTCTGCAGGTCCTGAACCTTCAGAGGACCCATTGGATTCCCCGCCAGGCTGAGGTGAATCAGTCCCTTGGTTTCCTTTAGCACTGAGGGGAAGGACTCAAGTTGGTTTCCTGAGATGTCAAGTTCATGTAGGTTCTTAAGACTACCTATGAGCTCCTTATTCAGACTGGTGAGTCCCACACCACCCAATTTAAGTGACTCTAGGTTTGGGGTCTGGAGGTCTGAAGGACCCAAGGTGGGTAAGACATTGAAGCGAAGGTCAAGCAGCAGCAGACGGGGCATTGAGAGAGCAGGCAGGGATGTCAACTGGTTGCCCTGTATTTTGAGTTCCAGCAGGTGCCCCAAGCCATTAAAGGCTGCAGGATGGATGGTCTTGATAAGATTGCTATACAAATAAAGGCGCTCAAGCAGTGCCATACCCTGGAAACATTCCTCTGAAATGTGAGTGATCTGGTTGGATGACAAATCCAGGTTTCTCAAAGAGGTCAGAGGTTCAAACACCCTATCAGGAAGTTCAGTCAATTTGTTTTGACTGAGGTCCAGCATTTCCAGGTTCTCCATACCATCAAAGTCCTCCGCTGTCAATCCCTCAATGCCATTAGCAAAAAGGTAGAGACTTTTCGTGTATGAGGGCACTCCTTTGGGAATGGTGGAGGAACGTCTCAGGAAACATAAGATGGATTCTGGTGTGGAACAGGTGCAATCGTTTGGGCAGGCGCTGGACAAGATGCCATCAGGAAAAATGAGGAGGAGTAGAAAGGGCATCAGCGGAGTGAGAAAGACCTTCATGGTGCAGACTCTTTCTCTCTCCATGCTCAGCCTAAAAAAAAAGAGCATATAAACTGTCAATAACTTCCAACAGAAATATACAAAATGCTGACAGATTGTGAACAGGAAATAACAGTCATCCATGTAATATTGCTTGATTATGTCACTTGTGAGGGCCATGTTTGAATTTGGGAGCATCAAGCTGTTGCACCAAGAAATGTGTGACAGATGCAAAACAATGTTGAATTCCTTTACAAAGCCCTATAAAACTTATTTCCAAACCAGCCTTGATCAACTATTGTGTGGCTCTTTAATGTGTTTAATGGAGAGAGATTACTATCAAAGGTTTAACTATGCATAGCCAGTGATCAAAGGCAATCTTTTGTCACAAGGTCTGTTAAACAATAGGGCTATAGCTGTGACCTCAGGCTTCAGAGGGAAAATTGGCATAGTGGCGTCCTGCCACACTTTTCTGGCTAAAGGAGTGCCACATTCTCCCTGCTATGATCTGTGTAATAGATAGTACTGTGGGATGCCAAAAACATTATTTCCTTCTCTAATGATCTTACAGATGGCAATGTGCTTGTGTGTGTGCATGTGCATATGCACAGCCACACATTCACATGTGTATGTATATATATATATATATATATATATATATATATATATATATGTATATATGTATATGTATATGTATATGTACCATCATATGTGTGTTGGTGTTTGTAAACAAAAGGGTTTGTGTTTGGATGTAAGCCGCCCACCCACTGTTATTTTCTGTTCTGCACACGCTCTGTGGTTGTAGTGAGGTCACAGTTAACTGTTTTCCCTATGTTTATGACAGGCTCCACAGCCTATGAAACACACAGACACACAGCAGCAATGAGCAAATTCAACATGGTTTGTTTCTGGAGCGATGTGTCAAACTGAAAACACAGAGTGACTTTGTACGTTTTTCTGTCTCTCAAGAGCTACTGAAACAGTGAAAAGCTTTGCACACACCTTCTAAATGTTTCACCATAAACACTGCTCTGGTCTCTCCAGTTTCATATAACCATACCGTGTCTGTATGTCTGCCATGCTGCACGTGGCCATGCATCTGTGGATGGTTTACTCTGTGGCGTTCTAAACTTGGAGAAGAGCTTCACTGATGGTTTGGTGCTGCTTCCATGGCACTATATAAATAACACACACTATCTATGTCGTCATTGCGCAGACTGACGGCCTGGCTACTTGCCAAATAAGCGTCTCTAATACTGTAAAAAAAAAAAAAAAAAGAAGCTGACATAAACAGAGACTGAACAGGGTCGATCATCAAGAAGATATTTTACTGTGTTAAGCCTATTTCACTGGAGCCCAAGTCTTACTAGACAATCACCCTGGTAAAGCGTCAACATAGTACTTGAAAGGGCAGAAAAGGAGGGAAGGGATTATGAAAAGAAGAGGGAGAGAGGAATGAGGGGAGATAAAGAAGAAACTAGTAGCGGACAACAGTCTGTGTGGCAGTTTATCATCCTCTGCTATCGAGTGAGACGGCCTTGGGGGTAAGAGACAACATCTCTATCTGTTAGACCTTTCTCTTCTTTAGACAGCTTTTGATCTAGTCTCATTTTTACTCTTCAGGAACTCTTTTTTGTCCTTAACCCTTAACCAGAGGCTCCCTGGTCTGATTTGCTCCAAATTCCCCGGGTGTCCTGTAATTACTTTTGTTAATATCATGATTTAAGTTTATTGCTTGAGGATGAGGATAGTGAATAGAAAATAACTCCAAACCTTGCTTTTTGAACATTTATGACACCCACAGCTACGGCATGTTGGTCAACTTATACGCTTGATGATCTTACTTTAGGGCCTTAATGGTGCAGTTGTTGATGTCCGCACTGCACAAATACCTGAATGAGAGGCCAAGTATGTGTGACTTACAGTTTTACACAGATGCAGCACACACACAGAGAACATTCTGTTCTCACATTGCTCGCTTAGGGTTGTGGCCCCAGAAATGTCAAAGAAATTGCTTTGGACGTTTTATTTCTATCATTTCCCTTTCTATCTTGGAATTATGTTCTTTTCCTCCGAAGTTACAGTGTTAATTTTCTTGTGAACTATGCACAATGTGATCTACAGATATTGATGCAGAATGTAGAAGCACAGTTGCTCTCTCAAGATCTCTTCTTATTGATACCAGAAAGAGTTTGTCTTTGTCAGTGGTCATACATTTTGGGAAGTAAATGCACAATATATTGTTTAAGAAGCAAAAAAATATCATCATGTCCCTCTCTTTTTCCTTATGTGCAAATTTTATTTTTCCAAATTAAATAATACACTAATTGGTGTTTGATTAACCTAAATACACAGAAAGTTCATAGCCTGTTTGCCAACAACTACAAAAAAAACATTGCTGTCTTGAATGTTAGAACTTGGAGATCAAGATGGAGGGGGGGGGGGGCAGAGGGGTGGAGGAAGTGCCAGTATCATCCCATCACGCCACAGCTATGGCATTCATTTTCCTTCTCTTTCAGCATACTTGACTTTCTGCTCCTCCTTGAAATTGCAACCTCCTTGGAAAGATTCCCTGAACCCTTATTTTTTTCTTTCTCCAGTGTATACACTAAAAGCAATCACAGCATTCACTTCAACCTCACTGCCAACACGTTACTCTCATTATTCAGATAAATGTATTTCATACAGGGCAGAAATGTTATTCTGTGAAGCCAGATGCCAATGAAAATGACCCTGCTCGAACCCAAGCTTTGAACAAGGCAACTTGCTAGTTTTCAGAGTCAGCACCTACTAACAGCAGAAGAACAACCTAAACTTTGGATGCCGTGCAGAAAAGTTCAACCTACTTAGTAGTGAAATTGTTTATGGAAAATCTTGTCCAGAAAGTAACAATTAACATCTGATGGGGATAGTCTGTTGTTGGTTACAGCTAAATGGGCGGCAGAGGTTAAAGGTTGCAGTTATCCCATAATTTATACACAATGCCTGGGGGAATTCAACAGGTGAGTAATTACATGTACAGAGTTGTGAAGGATTTTTGCTTCATGGCTCGACGGCCGGGGAGAAATCCAAAGAAAGAACATTTTATTTGCTGCTGTTGGAAATAAAGGATTCCATTGTAGTAATCAATAATAACTGGAGTCATATGTTTAAATAGCTGCAGAGGAAATTGTAGGTTTCATTACAGGGTTCAGAAATGATGGAGGTGCAGATAGAAAATGAAGAACTGAAAGTGTGGCTGCCGTGCTGCATAGATGCACAGAACAAGGGAAAACAAAAGGACCCGGGAGGATAAACAGGAGATGAAGGGGGAGAGGGAGAATCAAACAACAGCTCGAGTGTATGCAGATGGTCTCAGGTTTTCATATTATGACTGTGTGTGGGGAGCTGCATTTCCATTTCAGCATAGGTTACTGTGTGTGTGTGTGTGTGTGTGTGTGTGTGTGTGTGTGTGTCTCAAATAGGGAGTACACACAAGGATTTGTGTGTTTTTGTGACAGAGGTATCACATGTATCTGAAGTCCAAAAATCCAATCTCATTCCTTCCGGAGATAGAGACTAAAACTTTAATTCGGTACAGTGTATCAGAGACGGGTATAAGAGTCCAGTGCCAGAATATACAACAACATCAAGGCAGCCATGAGAGGAGAGTGAGCTATGCAGATAAAACTGAGAATATTTTTCTTTGAAACTGAACGTGGTGATTCTACCGTAGCTCCCCGGGGCAGAATGTTTATTTGAGTGTGTCTCATTCCAAACTGGGCCAGGCACATCTGATAACCCAGTGGTGGAGAGACTGTGGATGGGGAGGGGTGGTTCAGTCAGTGAATGCTGCCAGATCATAGATAAACCGTAGCTTGATAGGTTAGATTCTCCTGTTTTCTTTCTTTTCAGATGTGAGTGACTTGTGCAGGTCTTATCAGTGTGTAAGATAAGGCGTCATTGTGGCGTCACTGCATTACGGATCCACAGTGTACTGTGGTGCTGAGTGAGTCCTGACTGTGTGGTTTTAACTCAAGTGTTTTGAAGTGAGTGGAGGTGGGCGGCTTGCAGAGAGAGAGAGAGAGATAGTAGAAAGACAGGCTTGTCATCCTGCGCAAGGAGGAATACCCCCTCCCATCTTGCCTTCCTCCTCCTTTCTTGAGTTGTAATTTCCTTTTCTCTCCCCTGCGAGCTTGTTGAGACATTCCTGAGACAGGCAGCAGCTGAGTTTGAAAAAGTGAGCTTGTCCGTCTTATTGACTTGGCATTTAGAGATTAACGGGAAGTTTTTTCTGGGTTTACAAACAGACGATTGATTGGATGAATGTTGGTACTGGTCATATGAATAGTGGTAAAAAAATCTTTGCGATAAGACCTGTTATATAACTATTGTTTCTTCATCTGTGTTTTCTTTTAGGCTTGAGTCTAGGTTTGTGGGTTGCATTAGAACAAAGTGTTGTGTTGACTGATGAGTGCCAGAGACGGTAAGGAGAAAATACAAACAAAAGAGCAAGAACGTCTTTGCGCAACACAAAGTGAAATACATGGTCAGCCTCTTGAAAAGAAAAATGAAAGAGGCAATAAGAAGAGGCAAAAGGAAGAAAAGCATTTTTCCCTTCTTGCTCTGCTCACTTCTTATCCCATTTTTTTCTTTTTTTTTTTTTTTCTTTTCAAGATGAGGTGGAAAAGAAAACATGAGCAGGGGAACAGCGGAGACAAAAGCAGGTTTCTGTCAGCGGGGGCACAGGGGTGGAGAGGTGGATAAGGCCTGGCTTTGGGAGGGTGAAGTGGGCTTCAGCAATTAAATCCCGGCAGGCCGAGCGTCAAGAGCCCTTATCTTCAGAGCTGAAGGCCAACACTGAGGGGCAATGAAGGGTACAAGAGGGGGTAGAAAATTACGGTGTGTGTGTGTATGTGTGTGGAGGATTCGCAGGTCACTGTGCACTTGCATAATTCAGCGGGCCTTGCCAGAAACCGCAGGGGGGCACCACGCCAAGTCACAGTAAGGGGATAAGGCTGCACACTACAGAAAGCATACTCCCATCAAAGAGGCCCCTTCTCTTCTGGGACT